TTCTCGTGATATAGGTTCAGGTTCTCCACTTCTAGATCATGCATAGATCGGTTCCTGATCTTCAGCTCAACAACATTAGTGGTGAGTCCTCATTCTCCGTGGACGACATACTTGTTTCCTTTGCTTTTAGTCTTAGTTTCAGTTTTTGCTAGATTTAGCTGGGGCGTGTCCTAGCAATTCTAGTCAGTTAGAGGCTATTTTCAGACATAGTTAGTTTCATCTTTAGCACTTGAGTTTGACCTATTAGCATTTGTTAAACTCTCAGTTTTTATATATATTCAGATAGTATATTGGTATTCCCCATGACTTGGCTTCTGCACAATATTTCTTTACTTCAGTTTACTTTAGCATGCTTATGATATGCCGGCAGGGTTAGCTTGGTATCACTCGTGATTCTAGGTCCCGTGTCCGCATCCTGGGGTAGCTTTAGGATGTTGACACTTACAATATCAAAATTCCATAAAAAATTTAGACTTCAAAATTTGAGGAATATTTGTGGAAGCATTTTATTTTACCATATCAAAAGAAGTACAAAAGGAAAAACCATATGTTCTCCCAAGGGACAACTCAATAACTCAGAGTCCACAAGTGACGCACAAGTCAAAGTTCAAATTATGAAGCTGACTATCCAGTTTAATCTTTAACTATAAAGAAAGAGAAAAAACACCACATAAAAATGATGACTCCTTAGTATTTTTTAGTTGTTGATTATTAACTTGACACACCAACAATACATAGATGACAATTTTGCTTTGAAAAAATATCTTGAAAAATGATGAATAGCAAGAATACATTAGAAACAAAAGTCATAAATTATCTTAATTTATTAAATTGCAAGATGAAGATCAAAACAGGTAAGATAACTATCAATCAGAGAAGAATAAAAAGTTATTAAGACGCATAACCAAATACATTATATGCCTAAATAGAAACTCACTCAAACGAAGGAAAGAATATCTTTAAAAAAAATATAGGAGAGCAACATAAAAAAAATAATAACAAAAGAGTACCTGAAAATTACAATAGAGATGAATGGAACATGCAAGTGAGAGAGAATGGGAAAAAATAAATAAAAGAACACTGCAATTCCTCCCACATGCGCTAAAGAATGGAAAATAGAAGAGATGTTGAAGTCATATCAATATGTGTCCAAAAGGTACCAAACTAGAAAGACTGCAATTACTACTCCTAGTGACACATTAAATTGCAAGATGAAGATAAAAAACAGGTAAGATAACTATCAATGAGAGAAGAATAAAAAGTTATTAAGACACATAACCAAATACATTATATGCCTAAATAGAAACTCACTCAAACGAAGGAAGAATATCTTTAAAAAAAATATAGGAGAGCAACATAAAAAAAA